AAATAAATACACGGCATAACAAATAAGCTTTAAAATGTTGGCATTGTTTAGAAGTTAAATGGGAAATGAATGCATTGCATTAAAATAGTTTTTTAAAATGCGTAAAGATCCATTTAAATTGAACATATATAAACTGCTTTTCCTGAAAAAACCTCTATATTGATTAACGTTTCCCCTTGGTGGACTGTGGTAAATATTAACTTGCTTTAGCCACATTTCTGCATGTTTCAAATGTTGTTTCTCTGTAAGGGTTTGTGCTGGGCGTTGTAGGCCAAAGTGCAGAACATTTTGTTTATGCGTCTGGAGGAAAGAAAGCGGCCCGTTACATCACACACTGCACAAACAGCCTTATCAATGTTTTTCACTCCTTTTCTGAAGGTTGCGTGTTGGACGTGTGCCACACAATGCTGTTCTGTCTGAGCTGTGCACTATTTGTGGACACTTGACTGTAAAAAAATAATATTGGACCAAAATATTCTGACTCAACCTGGTGCGTTTATTTGTTCTGTGTGCACTCTCGACAATAAAAGTAGTTTTAGGGTGCAATTTTAAATAGACTGTGGAGAAATTAATAGGGCACTTGAGAAATCTTTGGATTTACTGGGTTTGTTAGCTATGAGTTGGAGTGAAATGTTAATATTTGTTTTATTATGAAGCTCTAATAACATTTTTTTTCTCCTTTCAAAGAGAAATGTTGTCATTTAAAGTGTTGTTTTTTGTTTTTTTATTTTCTCGAGGAAATGATCATTGGTCATGATAAATGTTTTCATTTGCAGTGATTGAATGGAAAGTAGATTTATTCAATGAAATGTGGATTTTTCAACTCTTCTGAAGTTAAAACATTTCTATTGTGTTTTAAAATGAAAAAACTTCCGTAAACAGCACACTTTTTTGTTATTTTTGCAAATTTATTATGTAAAATATATAGAAAAACTACATCTATCTATCTATCTATCTATCTATCTATCTATCTATCTATCTATCTATCTATCTATCTATCTATCTATCTATCTATCTTTCTATCTATCTATCATCTATCCATCTTTCTATCCATCTATCAATCCATCCATCATCTAACTATCTATCTGTCTATCCATCTATCCATCTATCTATCAATCCGTCCGTCCGTCCGTCCGTTCGTCCGTCCGTCTGTCTGTCTGTCTGTCTATCTATCTATCATCTATCCATCTTTCTATCCATCTATCAATCCATCCATCATCTAACTATCTATCTGTCTATCCATCTATCCATCTATCTATCAATCCGTCCGTCCGTCCGTCCGTTCGTCCGTCCGTCTGTCTGTCTGTCTGTCTGTCTGTCTGTCTATCCATCTATCCATCTATCTATCAATCCGTCCGTCCGTCCGTCCGTCCGTCCGTCTGTCTGTCTGTCTGTCTGTCTATCTATCCATCTATCCATCTATCTATCAATCCGTCCGTCCGTCTGTCTGTCTGTCTGTCTGTCTATCTATCTATCTATCTATCTATCTATCTATCTATCCATCTATCAATCCATCCATCATCTAACTATCTATCTGTCTATCCATCTATCCATCTATCTATCTATCAATCCGTCCGTCCGTCCGTCCGTCCGTCCGTCCGTCCGTCAGTCTGTCTGTCTGTCTGTCTGTCTGTCTATCTATCTATCTATCTATCTATCTATCTATCTATCTATCTATCTATCTATCTATCTTTCTATCCATCAATCTATCCATCCATCATCTAACTATCTATCTGTCTATCCATCTATCCATACATCCATCCATCTATCTATCTATCTATCTATCTATCTATCTATCTATCTATCTATCTATCTATCTATCTATCTATCTATCTATCTATCTATCTATCTATCTATCTATATATTCATCCATCTATCTGTCTGTCTGTCTCACCATCCATCCATCCATTCATATATATCCATCCTTCCATCCATCCATTCATCCATCTGTCTGTCTGTCTGTCTGTCTGTCTCTCTGTCTGTTGGTTTGTCTGTCTGTCTATCTGTTTGTTTGTTTGTATCTTTGTGTTTCTATCCATCCATCCATCTATGCATCCATCCATTTAACTTGAAATTGTTTAAAAAAGATTTGATTACATATTCGTTTAAAGAGTCAATTTTATGCTTTTATTATTTAGTAGTTTGACTTTTCAACATTGGACACAACTGTAACGTTCTGTATTTTCAAGAAATTTACGCAATTGTCTAGGCATTTTTATTTAAAACTGTAAAAATTATTCTTTAAACAATGAAAATGTATATTTGTATATTGGTCAACACGGGTATAAACTTGTTTAAACTTCAGTATAAAATGTTTCACGAAAGTGTGCTGACTATGAGATTGTATTGAGTATATATTATCCACATATGTATTTTAATGCAAGATAAGAGACTTTAAAAATGTTTTAAGCCTGTAACCATTGACTTTTGTAGTATTTTTTTCCTACTACTAATGTATGTCAATGGTTACCCGTTTCTAACATTCTTCAAAATATCTTCTTTTGGCTTTGCCAGAAAAAGGACCCACATGTGGGTGAGTAAACAGTGAGTAAATGTAAAGATTTGGGGGTGAACTATCCTTTTAATTGCGTGGCACGGTGGCCCAGTGATAAGCACTGTTGCCTCATAACAAGAAGGTCGCTGGTTTGAGCCAGTTGGCGTTTCTGTGTGGAATTTGCAAGCTCTCCCCGTATTGGGGTGGGTTTTCTCAGGGTGCTCTAATTTCTGTTACTGTCCGAAGACAAGTGTTACAGATGAAACAAAATTGGTCGTAGTGTATGAGTGTGTGTGTGAATGTGAGAGTGTATGGGTGTTTCCCAGTTTTGGGTTGCAGCAGGAAGAGCATCTGCTGCGTAAAAACATATACTGGAATAGTTGGTGGTTCATTCCACTGTGGCGACCCCTGATAAATAAGGGACCAAGCCAAAGGCAAATGAATGAATGAATTAATTAATGAATCCTTTTAAACACATTTTTTTAAAGAAGTCAGTTCCAAGCTTCCACTTTCAGTCTTCAAAAAACATCTAGATTGTAGTGAACATCAACCTAAATTTGAGAAATCTGATCTAAAGCAGTCTTTCCTGACAGAAAGATAAGAAAAACTAAGCCACACAAGTTTCGAACAATATGAAGGCAAGACACACTTTTTACTCATTTGCTAGAATTAGGAATCCCCTCGCATGCACTGTAATCATGTGATATTTTTCTTCCACCTGTACAATCACTCACTCCTTATCATTTTATCACTGTAGTACAGAGTCTTGAGTGGACTTCTTCCTCTTGGTGATAAACAAGATTCAGCCAATGGACTGCATGTACAATCAAAGACTCGGTTAAAGAGAGAGAAGATTAATGACTGCTTGACCTGTTTTCCGCTCCAGTGCCGGAATAAAAAAATAGCAGAGGCTTATTACTGACACGTTGGGTTTACATGTTTCATGGAGACTTCCCATAGACATAATGATTTTTATACTGTATAAACTGTATATTCTATCCTCTGCCCTACATTCAACCCTCACAGAAAGTTTTGCATTATTACTTAATTCTGGATGATTTATGAGTTGTTTTACTTATGGGGATCAAACATAACTGGTATTGCTATACTTGTGGGGATATTTGGACACACACTGCAAAAAGCATTTTCTAGACAGTAAATAAAACAATTTGTTTTCAGAAATATTAAGTCAACAACACTAAGTGGGGTAAGTAAAATAAACTTATTTCAAATCAAAAATTATTATTTTATTTAAAAAACCATAAACACACTTTGTTTTTATTTCTTTAAAAAAATTATATATATATATATATATATATATATATATATATATATATATATATTATATAAATTTTTAGATATATCAGGATAGAAACAACACAAAACTTCCATTTATTTTTATATCCTGGTGGGGATTCTTCACAGACATAATGTTTATTGTACACGCTGTACATTTCATCCTTCTACCACAACTCTACTCCTAAAACCAACCTTCACCAGAAACAATCTGCATTTTCTTTCCAAAATACTATATTATTTGTGTTTTACGAGCATGTTTACTTGTAGGGACATCAATTTCGGGGCCTTGGTGATACAAGTTCTCATAAGTCTCTTTGTGTTCAGGTTTAAGTCCCCACCAGCATATAAAAACAAGTACAAACACATACACACATGTTGGTTTTCTTAGTTTACGATAGGCATAATATATTTTATCCTGTAAAGACCACTTATGGCCATACACTACCCCAACCTAAACCCATGGGGTGATTGCGGATCAAATTGGGAACTGGGGGGGGCGAAAGATTTATAGGGTGGGCTAAGTATAAATATGGCCTATTCTGAGAAATGGTTTTCTATGCTCTGTATGTTAAAAAGTCATTTTAATAATAAAAATAATAGACAATATAAATATTTGACCCCCCCCCCCCCCCCCACACACACACCCACACATATTGGTTAATACCATAGAGAATGCATAGACGCGCCAACCACACTGTAAAATAATCTGATATTTTACTTTTTTTGTTAGAAAACCATAAAATAACAGCTGTTAAATTAAAGACATCTGCCATAAAATAGCAGTCATTAATTTACAGACATTTACCGTAAAATAATGGATGTTAAATTACAGACATTTACTGTAAAATAATAGACGTTAAATTACAGACATTTACCGCAAAATAACAGATGTTAAGTTACAGACATTTACTGTAAAATAACAGCAGTTAATTTACAGACATTTACTGTAAAATAATGGACGTTTAATTACAGACATTTACAGTAAAAAATTGGACGTTAAATTAAAGACATTTACTGTAAAATAATAGACATTAAATTACAGACATTTACTGTAAAATAATAGACAATAAATTACAGACGTTTACCATAAAATAACAGCTTTTAAACTACAAACAGTTATCGTAAAATACAGCGGTTAAATTAGACATTTATCATAAAAGACGCCCGTAAAATTACAGACATGTAGCGTAAAATAACGGCCTTTTAATTACAGACATTTACAGTAAAATAATGGACGTTAAATTATAGGCATTTACATTAAAATAATGGATGTTAAATTGTAGACATTTACCGTAAAATAACAGACGTTAAATTACAGAAATTTCTGTAAGTTTAAATTCCCAGTCTGTAATTTAATGGTCGTTATTTTACTTTTTTTTCTGGCACCCCAGCTCTGTGCAAGGAAAAAAAATCCATCAACAGTCTGAAACCGTCAGATCTAGAGCACAGATAGATGACGGAAATGTTCACATGAAACTTTTTCTTGTAAAATCGGTGTTTGTATGTACATAGCCTAAAATTAAGGACAATTAAACTCAATGTTTTTATATTTTGACTTAAAGTAAATAATCCGAGGTTACTGTAGGCCAGAATACACTATTCATCCCTTAAACACTGAAAACTTAAATATGTTTTATTAATATATAAGCTGTAATTTAAATAAATAGATACATTTGATTAACTGAAGCCTGTATCACACAAACATTTCAGAAAATGTTACCCCCCTCCCCTCTATCGTGATTGTATAATTCACACCCTGCTAAACCATCTCAATGTTGTAATACGCAGGTCATTCCTATGTCATACCAATTTCTGTACTTGTAAGTCACCAAAACCAGTATACACACACACACACACACACACATTTTCGGTCAGAGTTCACCTGTTCTGTCGAGTGACGTATATTGCAGAAAAATGGCCCAATCGTGTTGCAGGAGACGAGTTGAGCAACAGTTGCAGGACAGTACTGAACACTTGAGCTCACAGACCTGCTGCGCTTGCAGGAGCTGTTCTGAGTACAAAAGGTGAGCCTGTCATTTGTTATGTCACATTTTGTGAGCTTTAAAATGTAACTGCCATATTGACATGAAAGCGTCACAGAGTTTGTCTACATTCCTGTACATCCCAAAAAGCTTTATTGGATTGATATTTTTGTCTGTGTGGTTATTTAAGTATAGTAAACTCAAGAAACCTGTTTGAGATATTGTATCAAATCATCTATCATATAAAAATATAATGGCAGCTTAAAGATGCCTCTTATATGAAGAATGAAATCACATAAATCGCTCAGGTGTGATTTTTTACAAACTTCAACAGAGTGTAAATTAAATTACAGACATTTACCGCAAAATAATGGACATTAAAATAACAGAAATTTACTGTAAAATAACGGGCGATTAATTACAGACATTTACTGTAAATTTTTGGATGGTTAATTACAGACATTTATTGTAAAATAATGACCATTAAATTACAATCATTTACAGTAAAATACAGACATTAAATTACAGACATTTACTGTAAAAAATACCCGCTAAATTGCAGACATTTACCGTAAAATAATGGTCGTTAAATTACAGATATTTACTGTAAAATAACAGCTGTTAAATTACGGACATTTACTGTAAAATAACAGCTTTTAAATTACGGACATTTACTGTAAAATAATGGCCAATAATTTACAGACGTTTATCGTAAAATAACAGCTGTTTAATTACAGACATTTACTGTAAAATAATGGACGGTAAATTACAGACATTTATCGTAAAATAACTACCATTGAATTACAGACATTTACTTTAAAATGATGGATGTTAAATTACAGACATTTATCTTAAAATAATAGACAATAAATTACATACATTTACCGTTAAATAATGGACGTTAAATTACAGACATTTACTGTAAAATAACAGCTGTTAAATTACGGACATTTACTGTAAAATAATGGACATTAAATTACAGACGTTTACCGTAAAATAACGGCCATTTAATTACAGACATTTACTGTAAAATAATGGATGTTAAATTACAGACATTTATCTTAAAATAATAGACAATAAATTACATACATTTACTGTTAAATAATGGATGTTAAATTACAGACATTTACAGTAAAATAATTGACGTTAAATTGTAGACATTTACTGTAAAATAACAGCTGTTAAATTACAGACATTTACTTTAAAATAATTGACGTTAAATTATAGACATTTACTGTAAAATAACAGCTGTTAAATTACAGACATTTACTGTAAAAATACTTAAACTCAAGAAACCTGTTTGAGATATTTTATAAAATCATCTATCATATAAACATATAATGGCAGCTTAAAGACGGCTCTCATATGAAAAATGATATCACATAAATCACTCAGGTGTGATTTTTGTTACAAACTTCAACAGAGTGTAAAAATCTTGATGGTTCTGTGAGTCTATCAAATCTGAGCTTTATTTGGTATTTTTTTTCTATTGGATTCAGATCAGGTAATTGGCTGGGCCATTCTACAGCTTAATTGTCTTTCTCTGAAAGCAATGGAGAGTTTCCTTGGCTCTATTTTAGATCATTGTCTTGCAGAAATGCCACTCTGGTTTCATCTTCATCATCCTGCTAATGTAGATGTTGGACTGAAGCAGCCTGTATTCATTTACACTGACGAAGGGCAGAGGTTTGCTGAAGAACTACTGAGAGATTTCAGGTGCTGTCTGGGCTTTCACTGCCTTTCTTCACCTCCCTTTCTTCATTTGTTCAATACGTTTTCCTGCATCATTTTTATTTATTATACTTAACTACAAAAGAGTTCAGTTGCAAAACCCTCTAAATCCATCAGACCTCTTTTCTTGTAAATAAGCATTTTCTATTAGGCTCGTCTAATCAGATTCAGAAGTTTCATTTTATATGTAATGATAAGGTAATTAGCTAGTAAATAAAATACCTTTTTTTAAATGTCACTTTAGACAATTCTTTGGTCTCTATAGGTAAATTTAAATTTTTCGGCAGCTAAATCCACGTCTGCTTTTTTTGCAAAAACCTCTCAATTCACCTATTGAAACAAGACAGACTGTTTAGCTGAAAATCACTAAAGATGCAATTATAAATTGTTTTCCCAAACACAAAATGCCTAAAATAAAAATATATAAATCTGTCAAGTGGTGGTTCATTCCGCGGTAATAAACCAGAGAAAAAGCAGAAGGAAAATTTATGAATGAAATATGTAAAGTAAGTGCATTAATCATTAACATTAAAACTGACATTAATTAAATCTTAACAATCAGTTGGCATTTTTGATATTTGGTATTTAGATTTATTGTAAGTAGAGAAATGTAAACATTGCAAAAATTGTAAGCTAAGCTTGTTAGATTCAAATAATATAAAACATTATGAAACAACAATATCTGTGCATTCTCTATTGATATAAAAAGCTTATCACAGACGTATAGTATAATATAAAGTAAAATAAAAAATGTATAGTTTTATACATTATATTTATCTTTTATAAAATAGCTTAAATTAGCTAATTAAACACGTGGTAGGCTAACTAGGCAAAAAGTGGCTGCCTTTCGGACAGTTCTATAGGAGCTGTCATTCATTCATTCTCACCATACTAAAGGTCTTGGTCTCCTGTTTATCCTCATAGCATCCACGTGGGATAAAGGACGGCATCTTAACTTCATCTTTGGTGAAACGGAGTTGCCATTTAATGTAAATCCGACTCATTCAAAGTAACGTCGCTGCGCAGAAAAAAAAGGTAAATGCATGCTACACTTCCAACTGTACATTGTGTTTTCTTTGTCTTATAATGAGGTAAGGGACGTTTTCATTTGCCATTCACTGACAGTCGGACAGCCTCGTCCAGTTCATCAAACTCTGTCTTTTAAAATCTAAATATCCTCGTATAAAAGCAGGTGAGGTGAAAAATCAGCGCGCTACTACATTGAAAACATAAGATTTGATTTTCGCTTCTGATTGGTTCTCGGGATACGGCGGCTTTTGCTGTCAAAGGCAAGTTGTGTTTAGCGGCTTCTGCAAACAAACTGTTATTGCTGAATGCGCTGACGCTGGGATTTAGATGATTAGAAGCAAATCTATTAGTCGATGGTGTAGTACGTGCCAAAAAGCATTCACACAGTCTCTATATAATCTATATATTTTTCGATAGTCTACAGAACAAACCATCATTATACAATAATTTGCCTAATTACCCTGCCTAGTTAACCGGGTTAAGTTATGTCTCTTATAGGCTGTGTCTTGAAAAATATCTTGTCAAATATTATTCACTGTCATCATGGCAAAGATAAAATAGATCAGTTATTAGAAATGATTTATTAAAACTATTATGTTTAGAAATGTGTTGAAGAAATCTTCTCTCCGTTAAACAGAAATTGGGCAAAAAAATAAACAAGGGGGCTAATAATTCTGACTTAAACTGTGTGTGTGTGTGTGTGTGTGTGTGTGTGTGTGTGTGTTTATAGGCCTATATAAATACAGCAACGTCAAAAGAAGACTTGTCTATGTACAGTTTTCCAACAGTGTGTCCTTTGTTCACATTTATATTTTCTTTTCTTTGTGCTAGGCCAGGGGTGTCAAACTCAATTCCTGGAGGGCCGAAGCCCTGCACAGTTTAGTTCCAACCCTGCTCCAACACACTTACCTGTAGGTTTCAAACAAGCCTGAAGGACTTAATTAGTTTGATCAGGTGTGTTTAATTAGGGTTGGAACTAAACTGTGCAGAGCTGCGGCCCTTTTGGAACTGAGTTTGACACCTGTGTGCTAGGCAATGCTTTCTTTTCCTTTCTGTTTCATAATGACATTATCTGTCAACAAATTACAAACAGTAAAATCTCAGCCGTTAAACGGCTATCAGTAAAAGAATTTATATTGTCCAGTCACTCGCAATCAAACTTCAACATACACTAAATTCCAGAAATTATATATTTGTCATCAAAACTGTCGTCATGGTTTACATCAGAACATCCCTCCAGAGTACACAGAACAATATGGCTAGTAATTTGACCGTCCATACACTATGAGAAAACACTGATCCTTGGATTTACTCAAATGTTTTTTACGTTAACTGGTTGTAAACTATTTTTTGAGCTGAATTGAAACAAACATTGAACATTATTAAACTTAATTTGTTTGTTTAAATTCAACACAAATAAATTGTTTGCAACAGTTCTGCATGTGACACTTTTGTCTTATTATTCTTATGGCACTAACATGTTTATTGACACATATTTTAATTTTTTTTATTTTTTTTAAATAAGGATTTTGAGCAAGAGACTGTCCATGGTGGTTTCTTATTTGTACACATTTGTTACATGTCCATTTATTTATTTATTCATTCATTCATTTATTCATTCATTCATTCATTTATTTATTTATTTATTTATTTATTTTATTTTATTTTATTTTATTTTATTTTATTTTATTATTTTACTTTGTCGCCCTCTAGTGTTTTGTTGCTGGCTTTTGTGTTTTTGATTGATTCTTCGTTTTAAGAAATGCACTAACTGTAAGTTACTATAAGTTTACTACTTCTGTAAGTATTTTGTTAAATGAAAAACATAATTTATAAGTGAACACTCTTCAAGTTACTAAATGTTTTGTAACCAATACTATTTTATGAGAGACTTTTAGGTCACAATACTAGTGTATAAACCTTAAAGATCAGTATAAACATCAAAATAATGACAGATTTCAACTTTTTTAATGTACAAAACATTATACAGCATATGAAAACACATAAATCGTTTGCTCGGTTGCATCACAAATAGAAAATGATTACGTATTTTGTTCATTACAAAGCAATGTTTTCCAAGAATACAAGGTAAAAAAGAGGAAATTAAATAAACAACAACAACAAGATAGCCTGCATACACTGAATCTTACCTTTTCTACCAATAAAGTTTATGTACTGATCCAACAAATTTCAAAGGATTATTTTTCTAATCTAATGTGGCACTATGAATTATCTTTTACTTTTTTTCAAAGTTTGGTTGATCTTGATCGATGGCAGACTGCTCAGTCACTCTGTGAAGAAAATGAAAGTGTCATGTGAGGACCTACAACTGAAATACAATGACATGAAAATATCACAGCGTTCAGGAGCTCACCAGATCATCCAGGTCATCCATGGCAGGTGGCTCTCCTTTATTCTTCACGTCATTAAGCATCTGCAATTCCAAAAAGCCATTATATGTTATTTAAAAGAATGTATTCATGAAATGCATATATTACAGTTTTTCTCAATTATTAAATTGGTAGACGTGTAATGACCTGATCAACAAGAGGGATGTCCATCAAGATTATAGGTTTTCATGGATGTTATTTTGTACTATTTTTGTGCATTTGTGGTAACATAATAAATATGAAATGTAGTAATTGGACAAGCAAGATTGCACTTTACATGTCATACATTCGTACAAAAAAAATAAATGTACTGTATAAATAAAAATCTTGTTTAAATGTACTACTGACGCTTCTCAACAAATGTAAAAAAAATTAAACCTTTAATTTGAAGCATGAATGAAATGTTTTGGTTGAGTATTTTTGTTGTTGTTGTTGTTTTGGAGGTGCAATAAAGTTCTGAAGTTCCAGAAAACAGTTTAGAAAACTAGTATTTAAAAAAATAGTTTTGTGTCACCCAGACTTACATCCACATATTGCTCATATTCTGCCATGCCTTCTTCCTCTTCATGTTCCCAATCTCTCCAGTTATCAAAGTCTACTAACAACCATGCCGGCTGAAAAGACAAATAAACAAACAAGATCAGATATATACACATATAGATAGATAGATAGATAGATAGATAGATAGATAGATAGATAGATAGATAGATAGATAGATAGATAGATAGATAGATAGATAGATAGATGGATGGATGGATGGATGGATGGATGGATGGATGGATGGATGGGAGGACGGACGGACGGATGGATGGAGAAATGGATGAATGGATGGACAGACAGAAAGAATGATATTCAGGATGACGGAATGATAGAATGATAGATAAACAATAATGTGAAACGCGGACAGTTGGATGGATGGACGGACGGACAGACAGACAGACAGGCAGAGAGACAGACAGATAGTTAGATAGATAGATAGATAGATAGATAGATAGATAGATAGATAGATAGATAGATAGATAGATAGATAGATAGATAGATAGATAGATAGATAGATAGATAGATAGATAGATAGATAGATAGATAGATAGATAGATACATAAATACATACATACATACATACATACATTCATACATACATACATACATACATACATACATACATACATACATACCTTTGCTGTATCTTTCTGGAGTCGAGGCCATGCCACATTTTCCTTTACTTTCCTTATTAACACATTAATTGTTCTGTCGTGGACTTTCTCCCTTGAATCCTAAAAGATCATCAACCATAGAGTATTTTAAAGAGACAGTTCAACCCCCTATCCTGCCCCAACCTCCAATTAAACCCAATTCTGTTGTCTTTTGCTGTTCAGCTTTTATTTCATGCTTGTTTCAAACACAAAAGAAGATATTCTATAAAAAAAATCGAAACTGATAACCATTGACTTCCATTGTTTTTTTGTTTTTTTGTTTTTTCTAGGAAGTCAATGGCTACAGGTTTCTAACATTCTTTGAAATATGTTCTTTTTTCCCTCCCAGCAACAAAAAAGAAACTCAAACAGCTTTAGAGTCACTTAAGGGTGAGTAAACAGCTATTTAGCATCATTTACATATTTAAATCATTTCATGCAATAGTCATATAAACATTAAAAATCTTTAATATTCCTAGTTAGAATAAAAATAATGTGGAACTTTACTATTCCACCTGAGCACATGTTTTACAAACTTCAAGATTGAATCACAAACAGGATGGTAATATACTTACAGCTTTTAATACACGGTCATAAAATTCTATCTCATTGTAGATATTGTTGTCGTCAACATCTTTGCAGCTGAAAAATAGAGAAATATTAATTACGCATTTTACATTATTATATGCTTGGTGTTAAAAACATTATTTAGCTGATGTTGTATCATAAATAAATTAAATAAATACAATTTAAAAACATTATTTATCCATTATGTTAAAATTCTAAAACAAAATAGCTATAAAAAGATATTTATAAAGAGACCACTAAAAGAAAATATTTTGAAGAAGGCTTGAAACCTGTAACCATTGACTTCAATAGGATTTGTTTTTCCTACTATGGAAGTCAATGGTTACAGGTTTTCAGCTTTCTTCAGAATGTCTTCTTTTGTGTTCAGCTGAAAAAAAAGAAACTCATAAAAGTTTAGGGAGAGAATAAATAGTTAGTAAATTTTATTCTTTTGATGAACAATGTGAAAACTACATCTGTTGTTTTACAGATACTTTCAGTAATGAAAGATTCTAACATAAAATTTACAGTTATTGCTTGTATTTTGGTATTACGTTATTTTTCTTTTTTTTTTTAAAGGAAAAGTTCTGTATTTTCAGAGAGTAACACGTCATTTTAAGCTAATATTTACAGATGATTCCTGTAAAATAGGGAAACAAAAATTCAGTCAAATTGTTTTTAGTGAAGATAGTAATCATATGAAGATAATGTCAAATAATCTGAATTTTATGTAGTAAATTTTTTTTATAAATAATTCAATTAAATAAATAAATAAATGACTAACCCAAACCCTAACAATAATATAAATAAAAATATAAATGTAAAAAATAGAATAAATAAATAGAGTAAAATAAATAAAAAAAATACAAAAATAAATGTAAAAAATATAATAAATAAATTATTAAATAGACTGAAATAAAAAAAATAAATACAAATATAAATTTAAAATTATAATAAATAAATAATTAAATACAATAAAATAAATAAAAATAAATACAAATATAAATGTAAAAAATTACAATTTTAACACAATAAATAAATAAATAGAATAGAATAAAATAAATACAAATAAAATACAAATAAATACAAATATAAATGTAAAAGAATTATAAAAAAATAAAATAAATAAAAGTAAATACAAATAAATACAAATATAAATGTAAAAACAAATTTCTAATAAATAAATAAATAACATCTCTCTTACCTTAAAATAATCTTTTTGTCCTGAACATCTACCTGAACATCTTTTGGGTTTTGAACCACAAAGTTGATAGTGACATACTTTTTCCGGTCATACCACAGTGTTTTGGCTGGTTGGCTTAAAAATAAAATAAACAAATAAATAAAAAAGAAATATGGTTTAAACAAATATTTTACGTCACTCGTTACGTTACTCTGTAACACTTTACACTGATGGTTCATTAGTTTACATTAGTTAATGTATTTATTATTATAACAAACAATGAACAATACATTTATTACAGTATCTATTCAGCGTTAATGAAAATAAAGTTGTTACAGTGCATTAACTACTGTTAACTATTTGGATTTTAATCATGCATTAGTAAACGTTGAACTATGTTTAATAAATGTTACAAGTATTTTTTTTTTGCTATTACTTCACATTAGTAACATTATGAAACATTAGTGTAAAGTACTAGCTCTTTAAAACAAAACCTGTCTAACATGAAACCATGCATTTAAATCTATCATATCCAGAGCATGTGGTATCCACCATGTTTGCGTCTCACGTTTACACCTACCAGTTTTCTGGCCTCACAATCTTCGGCATCTTGACTTCTGATAGACTTTGATGTACTTTCCTGTTTTAATGTTGTAAATTTTTCATAAGCAATGCTGTTTTTTGTTTTCTTTTTGCTTTAAAGAAGTCAGAGTTGACTGGAGAGCTCAGTATATGTCTGTAAGTCTGGCAGAATGACTGCCTCTATTTTTAGGATGGATGGTATCAGCTGCTGGAGAGGAACACACTGCTTCACCTCCTCCCCCTCGGCACTTCTCATTTAAAGGCGCTGATGGAACATTCAGGAAAATCAGTGTATTTTCTACCCTCACCCGGAGCCTCGGACCAGAATGTTCACTTTCACACCTGAGTAGGAGGGGTAAAAAACTGATCGAAATACAACTAAATGTTTACTTGAGTGTTAAAAAGTAATATAAAAAAATAAATAAATAAATAAATAAATAAACAAACTAATAAATAAATAAATAGACAAATAAATAAATAAATAAATAAGCAAGCTAAACACTTAAAAAAATAATTTAAATTTCACTATTGTTAGTTTTACAACAGCCACGCTCGTTCACAATGCATAAAACATAAAAATAACTAAATTAACACAAGTTAACTATGTTATTTTTACAGAAACTTAGTACTTAGTAAGCTTTATGTAATAAGGGTTTGACTTGCCATTTTAACATTGTTTGTACTCTTCTTTTGGGAGTCACAGCCTAAATCTCAGTTATCCTTCAGACCTGAAGTACACTTTTGAGTTTTGTTGGGACTTGATGCACAAAAACTGTCACACAAAATGCTCAAGAACAAACCTGTTGGTTGAATCAGTACATCATTCTAGAATCTTAACAAATAAAAAAAAAATTAAATGAAGACGTTTGTTGTTTTCTTTGTGACATTTAAATGGTTTCTGGTCTTAAAATTAGGTGCCAGTTTTAATTCTGTCTTTGTTGATGGCACCAACATTTTAAATGTTTAAGTGTTTTGTCTTTTTTTAAATAAACTGTTACCTTATAGAGGCCAGTTGTAATGTTTTTTGACAATATCAGAAATTGTTCTAAGTAAAATTTGTATTGCAATATTTGAAGGAAGTCGCACATTGTGAGAATGTTCACTATTGACCAAAATGTTTTTTACCTTTTTTTTCTGAAACTTATTTACTGTAAGATTATTACCAATTCTTAAAGTCAGTTGCACTCTAAAGGACCTTGTAAAGAAAGTTTACTGTTCAGTTTTTGATGTTTTAGTGTACCTGTGATATTGAAATTATTTTATAGGTTTTAGCAGTTGTATATTGCAAAACTTTGCAAAGGGAATAAATTCATTTTGTTTCTAAAAATATGTTTAATTCATTTTTTGTCGGCTTAGTCCCTTTATTAATCCAGGGTCGCCACAGCAGAATGAACCGCCAACTTATCCAGCACATTTTTACGCAGTGGATGCCCTTCCAGCCGCAACCCATCTCTGGGAAACATCCACACACACATTCACACACTCATACACTACGGACAATTTAGCCTACCCAATTCACCTGTCCCGCATGTATTTGGACTGTGGGGGAAACCGGAGCACAGAAATGCCAACTGAGCCGAGGTTCGAACCAGCAACCCAGCGACCTTCTTGCTGTGAGGCAACAGCACTACCTACTACGCCACTGCGTCGCAAAAAAAAAAAAAGTTTCACACAAGCAAATACTTAAAAATTAATAAAAAAGTGTTCATAAATCTAGCATACAGTAACAGTAACTTAAATGCAGTAGTGACACATGTGAATGGGTTGTATCTTCTAAGGAATATTTTGTCAACTTTAATTGAATTTCTTTAGTTCGTTCAACTATATTGTTGCTTGTAGAAACTACTTAACAGACTTGTGTGGAACCACTTGACACTCTTTTTTCCTTCGTAGATCCAACAAATCAGTTTTTGGAGTGCACTTCAATGCATTTTATACAGCTCTCTCTCTCTCCAAGTTCAATTTTCATTTCAAAACTGCTTTATTGGCATGTCTGTAAATGATACATTATTGCCAAAGCTTGAAGTAAGAAGACAAATATAAAACTATAAATATCAAAATAAAAGAATAGAAACTAAATATAATAATAATAATTTCTCTCTCTTGTTTTATTTGTCTAATTTGACTGATTTGAAGTGAAGATCTACTGTATATACACTAAAAATGACTTTTGCTGCTAGTTCAAACATTTAAAATGAGCTGAATCAACACAATTATTGAGTTTTTAAGAAGCAACTTGATTGCTTTATGTTCAATCTACTTAAATTTCTAGAAACAATTAAGTTAACTTGATTTGCATTGGGACAACACGAAGGAATTGTATGGAAAACTGAGTAAAATCACTTGATTTCTTCACATTTGAGCTTTCTGCGTTTGTACTAATGTGACTGAAATCACGTTCATGTCAGTGATGATGTTATTTTCATTTCTGACATTGCAAATATTTACTGTACCTGCAGCGCCATCCGTAGCGAGTGTCCATTACGACAATATTTTTTTAGACCTTCTCACCATCATACATTATTATTCTAAACAAACATTGACAAGAGAACATGCATACATCATATGTGTATGTCAAACATAGCCTAAAACAAATTGAAGTTTAAATCAAATATCACAGCCAAATATAGATTGAAAATATATTCATTCATTCATTTTCTTGTCGGCTTAGTCCCTTTATTAATCCAGGGTCTCCACAGCGGAATGAACCGCCAACTTATCCAGCAAGTTTTTACGCAGCGGATGCCCTTCCAGCCGCAACCCATCTGTGGGAAACATTGTCACACACAATCATACACTACGGACAATTTAGCCTACCCAATTCACCTGTACTGCATGTCTTTGTACTGTGGGGGAAAACCGGAGCACTCGGTGGAAACCCACGTGAAGACAGGGAGAACATGCAAACTCCACACAGAAACGGCAACTGAGCCGAGGTACGAACCAGCGACCTTCTTGCTGTGAGGTGACAGCACTATACTGCGCCACTGCCTCGCCCAGATTTAAAACATATTTACCCACAAGTAGGGTGACTCGGTGGCACTCGGTGGCACAATCACCTCACAGCAAGAAGGTTGCTGGTTCGAGCCTCAACCATTTTATATTTTTATTAGTGTTGAACATCTCATTTTATCTTTGCATCCCCATATCGGCCAATTAATCCTGTTTTTTTTATAGTAAGTAAAGGTGTAGTAACCATGCTTTTAGACTTGATAACCAATTCTATAACTACAGTTTAGGTTACTACAAAAACCATATACACTCTCAGAAATAACGGTACAGGAGCTGTCGCTGGGGCAGTACCTTTTCAAAAGATACATATTTGTACCCAAAGAGTCCATAGTGGTAGGCTACCTCAAGGGTGCATTTTAGGGCCCAAATGTACCTTTGACATACCATTATGGACCCTTCAGGTACTAATATGTATTTTTTGTAAAGGTTCTGCCCCAGCGACAGCTCCTGTATCTTTATTTCGAAGAAGGTGTTGGTTAACCAAAGAAATATTTTGTTTTATTAATTTATTTTGATAACGGTTTTTGCCTAAAGGGTTATCTGGACATTCGAGCTATATGACATTTAATTGCATTAAATATCCTTTATTCAAACTTAATTTCGAACATTAAAATTAAATGAGATTGCCAACAAATTCAGTCAATCACAAAAAGTTTTTAGAGTTTTTAGAAACGAATCACAAAAATTTTTTAGATCAATGAAAAATAGTTTACAATTTGGTACAGCTAAGCATAAATTTTGTTTTGATGTGGTAATTTACAAATAAAATAAGTTTTTTTGTTATTTTGCAGGCCGTTCATTCCACTGTGGCGGCCCCGGATTAATAAAGGGACTAAGCCGAAAAGAAAATGAATGAATGAATGAATGAATGAATGAATGAATGTTATTTTGCAGAACATGGATGTTTGTTGAGTCCTACTGGTCTAAATGGACGACGTCCCTCACTCGCTTCAGCGCCGCCATGTTTTCCGTCATTGCGTCACTTCCGCCGCGGTCCGGTGTGGCGCGAGTCGCGAGATAGTGAACAATTTGCGAGAACAGAAAAACGCAAACTTGTGTTCACGCAGCTGCTGGGTTATATCTTATAACTGAAAACAAATAAATCCTTTTGACAAACGTGTGGAGAAAGCGGCGATTGGATTTATCGGAGGGAACATGCCGCGGCGGAAGGTGAGAGAAAATGCGAGAACTGGGTCAGTAGCCCAGTCGGCTGAGCGCGCGCTAACGGCTAGCTCAATGTTTGTTTACATGTTCAGACAAATGTTGTTTGTTTTCTATTAAAATGTTTCAATTTTTATCTCAATTGTGTTCTGAGTTAACATTTTAGCGCATAAGAATCGAAAAGCAAAGAAAGTGGCTTCGAAAACGGTGCGTTTTTAGGTAAAAGTGAAGCTAGTTAGCATTTTTTCTTTATGTGCAAACGTTAATGTTGAAAACACACTTGAGATTTAAAGTAATATTATTATTTCATTAAGGCAAGATACATTGCAAGTTTCCTTTCACCATCTGTCTATTTAGATTTTTTTTGCTTTTTAATGCTATTCAGAATACAATTCTACGAGAATACGATGCTACTGTAAAGAAAACACCCATTATGCCCTTTTAATGTGTTATTTTCTAAGCTTTTTATCAAAATGTGTGTTTGTACATTCAGTTGCAATACATATTCTATTCTGAAAATGTTTTGTTTCTCCTCTACAGGGCCATAAATCTCCATTTCAGCTGATCTTAAATAAACCCATAAATACTGAGGTAAAGTTCATTTTATTAATCGCACATTTAGACATTAATAATAAAGTTTCAGGAAAGTATTTTTTTGCTAACAAAGGAGAAGCTGGAAAAAACAGCAGCAAATGATCCAATCTGCAACCTAAAACATGAACAAACTGCCATGTTTAACGTTAACTAGTATCATCCCCTATTGGACTATTATGAATTTGGAATGACGGAATTACCTTCTAACAAGAGGCTACATGTGCTGCTGAAGATTAAAGACACATATAAGAGGTTTGCGTCTGACTGGGCTATATTTCGTGTTGTTTTTGAACCCAAATAAGGACTAAATGTATGCTGTGTGTAGTTTTTATGTAATTGATAACATATCGGATACTGTAAAGGTCTGTTTGTTTTCATATATGTTGTGTTTATTTATTTATTACATATAATTACAGACGCTACAGTAGGCTATTTTGCACTATCACTGATCTGTAGTTATAATCAAGTCATGTTCATAGAAGGGTTAGTAATAAACATTTAAAGAGAAGTATTTATGTGTATAAAGCTTCTGTTTTGTGAGAAGGGCTTCTCATATTTGTGAACGACCTGTATGGCTTTACTGTGACATTTCCTTTAGTAAAAATGATGTCATCTGAAACTTTGTCATACACCACTCCCACTAAAAGGGTACCTTTTTGGCTGTAGAAACGCAAGCTTGTTAAAGTGACCCCATTCCGACCGTGAAAACCGGCCATAAATGTCTCCCTTCCTAAGTTACACTTGCTCCTTTAGCTTCCTCACTGTCTATTTTCAAGCGCAGTGCGATCATTTTTGTCGCATATGTGCCCGAAATTTCATCTATGCATAAAATTGATGACGTTCGACCAGTTTTCACAACAAAATATTCACCACATGCGCAGATTTAGGAGGCATTCATGCATTAAGCATCTTTGCACCTAAAAATACCAAACGCAGCACTCAGGAATGGTTTAAAACAAGTGACTTGTCAACTTGCTGCAGTAAACAAAGCCTGCAATGCTTGCCCTGCCTTCTAGCTCTTCTTATTGGCCCACTGCACTAGAACAGAACTCGAATAGATTGGCTAATATCAGCTGCCAATCACTCCGTTCCGATGACAGAGCTACAGCCACGTAAACGTAAAGATAATCCATATGGAACATTGTTGTGTACAGAATATGGTCAGTCTATGTTACTGTTCCTACGGTGTATGTAAGCTTTTTTGGCTTTTGTTTTAGGCTTTTTAGAACAACAGTATCCCCAGCAGCCTAAGCAGTTATCACAATACCGTTAAACCATGCTTTATTTATCCAAGGTTTTCATACCATCTAAATCTTATGCCGTCCCATGCCTAAGTACAACAGTCAATTAAATATTGCTTATATTGTTTAAGTAACATGGTAAACGATATAGGGACCAAGTCACAAGTTGTCACTGAACGAATGTGCGAATTTAAAACCAACTTTACCTTAATCCCATAAACCAGTGTTTCTCAACCACGTTCCTGGAAGACCACCAGCTCAGCACATTTTTCATGTCTTCTTAACCAAACACACCTGATTCAAATCATCAGCTCATCAGCAGAGACTGAGAGACTTATAATGGGTTTGACAGACAAAGGAGACATCCAAAACATGCATTGTTGGTGGTCCTTCAGGAACGTGGTTGAGAAACAGTCATAAACCATTACATTTTTCCCTTGCTGTTTTCAGTTTTTACAAAAACAGTGTAAAAAAACGAATGATCGTTTTTGAACTAGATTTTTGTGCTAGAAATGTGCAAATTTAATGAAATAATGGATCATTTTTTACATTTAAACATCATTGTAGAACAATTGTAATGCTGTTTCTTTGCATTTCAAGTAATCAATCGAAATCGTTTATAATCTTTTCCCCTGTTCAACTGCAGTGCTTAGCTCATTTTAAAGTGTTGTTTAATTCATGATCTGTACATGTACACTGATAAAGCACTGCTAATGTCCACTCTGTGTTTAGAGAACTGCGGGCAGTAGTTCAGACGGGACTGCAGATTCGGATGACTCTGGAGATCATGAGAAGACCGACAGCTCTCACGGTGAAGCCAACCAGCGCAATAACACCCGCATGACCCGAGCATCACTGCGCCTTAGCCAGAGCTCTCAAGGTAAAAACACACAGCTCATTATTGGCTTCCTACAATCGTCATTGTTACTATATATTTAATAAGATAAATAGATCATCAGATTCTTTTAGTCTGCTTGTGAAAATATTAACTACAGCAACATCACCAAAACAGAGCCCACAGGTTATGTGTCAAACAAAACCATGTAACAGAAAAAAGGCCAGGCTGAATTATATGCGTGAATGTGGAGATTTGCCATCAAAATGTTTGGTAAACATAAAATTGAACATTTAATTATCATACAAGGCACAGCGACCCAGAGAAGACCAGCATTGATTTTTAATGACCCAGAAAAGACAAGAATGGATTTGCTTTTAACTCTTCAATAAAATAAGATTAGCTTTGGTGTTGATAAAGGCATGAGTTTCTTGGTAGTCCAGTCATAGAAGAAATTTGTTTATTTTATTTATATACTGTGTGGAAATATACATTTATATAATCCAGTTTTAAATGAACAATAATTGCATATAACTGAAAAGTTATATTCTTTGGTTTTTGATTATAGCATTTCATTAACAGCCCAGCCATGAGAGACATTAACCTTTGCCTTTCTGACTGCAGGCTAAGCCAAAGTGATGTAAGTGCTACGGGCAGGCTTTTAACGACTCTCCCTTTCATGCTAAAGAAACCCTTTTCTTGATAACTCATCTGGTCAGTTTCTGGACAGGTTTCTGACACCTATATGTCGGTTATCATGCTGACTACAATACTGAATTTGCATGCTTTGTTTAGCCATCTCCCCTCATCCTAAGAACACAATATAGATATGACATCTCTGTTTAGATTAACCAACATGTCATAATAAAGGAATTCTGCTTGTTTCGAGTCTCCTGGACTGGGTTCTCTCTTCTTCTTCATAATTTTATTTAATTTTTTTACAACAACTGTAAGACTTTACTAAGGAATCCCTCTAAATAGTGCACATAATTAACATCAGAGCAATATGCAAATATTTGCACTTCCTATACTTCACAGTTGAAAATTCTGGAAATGGAAATGTTGCATCGAGTACCCAGTTGTAAGCTTAAAATTAAATGTATCTTCTATATTTGATTATAAAGAAAAATAATAAATAAAAATTTATTTTCAGAAGTTGTAGGCTATAAAAATGTGAATGTATTCAAAATATTAAGCAAATATAAACAAACTAATCAAATTAAATATAAAGAGAACGTAAATTGCATAACAATTTAAATTTTATGGTAAATTTTTTAAAGTCGACGGACAATAATAAAAGTAAATATTTTTTACATTGTCTTATACATTATAAAAAAACACTAAGTTGCAGTTCTGATTTAGTTAAAAAAAGAATTTTTGCAGTAAATTAGCAAAGCATAATTAAAGTGTCTTATAAATGTAGATTTATTAAACACCATATATACTGCAATCAACAAGTTTTTTGAAAAATAAAAAAACATATGTAAAAAAAAAGTACCATGTTTTGTAAGCAGCAAGCCAACTTTTAATATAGGTTAAAAAAGAAAACCAAAATACAAACTGTGTAAATCAGAATGAGACTGAATTCTTCAAGGGTGACGCGTTTCTTTTGTTTAAAGCAAAAGAACATATTTTCACATTATATACACATGCTTTATAGTAACAAAATGATTGTCCTTATGATTATTTTATTTTACTTATTATTTATAGTTTTTGCACATTTATACTTATCATAAGAAATGAATTTATTCTTCATCTAGATGCTCCACCCGATATAAAGCAAGCAGTGGAGCGAGATGAGTCTCCTCCCAGGACGCCAACAGGAAACGCCCCGTCGTCTGAATCAGACATCGACATATCCAGCCCCAACGCATCCCACGATGAGAGCGTGACTAAAGACCAGAAAGACTCTGGCAGCGATCCCTCTCATCGGCCAAAACGCCGCCGCTTTCATGAGAGCTACAACTTCAATATGAAGTGCCCCACACCTGGGTGCAATTCTCTGGGTAATTGCTCTTCAGATTAATTTCCTGTTGCATCTGCTTAATAATCATTTTCAGTGCTAATTGTTTACAAGGGCTTAATTGGGAAAAATAAACATTTAAATGTTACTGGATCGTTTATGATGAAATATGAATATTGTTCTGTTTTTTTTTTTTTTTGTTCTTTTGCACAGGACATTTAACAGGTAAACATGAGCGCCATTTCGCCATTTCAGGATGCCCTCTCTATCATAACCTCTCTGCAGATGAATGCAAGGTATGTTAAGGGCAAAATATGTTTGGCTTGTTTGTGTTTTATTATTTTCTGTTATTAAGACACTGCAGGTAAATAGGGTAAAATGGAATTAATTATCATCACTGACATTCTTCAGTGTATTAAGTACACTTTTTGAGTGTAATTTTTGTGAAGAGTTGGGAGTTTTTATTATTTGATAATGACATTTTTTTTTTATTAAATATGTGCAAATGTACATACATTTGTAGCACAAAGATCAGAACATTGGATGAAGACAAAATTATGATTTTTTTTTTTGTGCATTGCTTGTTTGTGTTGTTTTTTTGCTTTTAATAAGACAAGACATTGCAGGTAAACAGGGTAAAAAGGAATTCATAAACAACACCAATTTTTCTCAGTTTATAAATTACATTAAATTTTTTGATACATTTTTTAATAATAATGAAATTGGGCATTATTTTTGACGAAATATGTGCAAATTTGACTACATTTCTAGCACAAAGATCTGACCATCGAATAAAGTTGGGAAAAAATATTTTATTATATTTTTTTGGCATTAGAGTCAAAGGTTTTTAGGGGATTTATTTTAGGGGGTATTTATTTTTATCATTTCATAATTCAGAAAATACTTGAACCACTCAAAGTGTTTGTTTTATTTTTCTGATTTCTTTGTTGTAAAAAAGTTTTATATAATCAAGTTAATAATGTATGAGCATACCCCTCTATAAAACATTGCAGAAAACATATATATGAATAATATTGTAATTAGAGTCAGGGGCAAAATCATAGTTTATTTTGGCATTGGGGATTTTGAGTATATATTTTATCATTTCATATTTCATAAAATACTTCAAACACCCAAAAAAAAAAACATTTATCTTCAAATTTATTTGTCGAAAAACCCTTTTTGTAGAAACCAGCAATTTATGTATGAACATACCTTTCAAAAATAAAATATTTGAATAATACTGTAGAGTCAGGGTCAAAATTATTGTTTCTTTTTATTGGCATTAGAGTCAAAGTTTTAAGAGAACTTTTGGTATATTTTTTGATCATTTTATAATTTAGAAAATACTTCAAACACTCAAATAGTTTATTTTAAGTTTTTCAAGTTTCTTTGTTGAATAATGTTTTAATCAAGTGAATTACGGAGGATTATACACCTTTGTAAAATCTTTCAGAAAACATGTATGTGTGTATATATATATATATATATATATATATATATATATATATATATATATATATATATATATATATATATATAAATATATAAATAATACTGTAGAGTGGGGTATAATAATTTTTTTGGAATGAGAGTCAAAAGTTTTTTGGGGATTTTGGGTATAAATTTTAATAATTTTATAATTCATGAATTTTTTTTTTTTAAATTGTAAAAATTCTTTGTTGAAAAAATTTTTATATAATCAATTTAATAATGTATGAACATAGTTCTAAAAAATCTTTCAGAAAACAAATATATAAATAATACTGGAAAGAAACTTAGGCAAAATTGTTTCTTTTTTGGCATTGAAGTCAAAAGTATTTTAGCGATTTTGGGTATATATTATCATTTCATATTTCATAAAATACTTCAAACACCCAAAGAATGTTTGTTCTTCGAATTTCTTTTATTTATATTTAAAGCAGTTTTATATAATCAAGCATATTATGTATAAAAGTACCCCTCTGTAAAACCTTTCAGGAAACATATATATATATGTCATATATATATATATATATATATATATATATATATATATATATATATATATATATATATATATATATATATATATATATATATATGAATAATACTGTAAAGTATAAGTGAAGATTTGACTCATTTTTGTGAGAAAAAAATCAATTTGTGATTGTAATTTTACAAAAATATTTATTGTAATTGCAGATACAAGTGTGATAAAAGACACAAAAAAAATCTGCACACTAGGTTAAAAAATACATAATCTCAGTCATTTACGGGTGTTTTTAAAAAAAAAGTGTCTTTGCCTGCAGTGGCTCACCTAAAATTGTACTTTTGGCACCCTTTTATATGAGTTTGAAAATATTTAAAACACCATTTTGGTTGCCCCCTAAATTTCAAAAAGCGTTACTTTGTCCTATTCTGGATTGTTTAACTCTTCCCTATTGTTTATCTTTGTGTGCTTCGTGTGGTCTCGATCAGGTGAAGGCTATCGAGCGTGAGAAACAAGATGAAGAGCGCAGTCAGGGGCAGAACGAGGAGAACAGGCACGCTACTCGACATCAGGTACTCGCCAAACAGATGTTCTCTTAACACTAAACAAACATCGCACAAGTGTGTTAATGTCTCTTAAGTGCATGCATGCTTTTGTACTAAAGCGAGATGTTTGCTTGAACGCCTAACGCCATCAGCTGGGTGCTTTTTATTTTTAGGATGGGTTGTGATTGTTTGCTAGCTATAAATCCTGCGGTGACTACAGTGCATGTGTGGCTGATGAGCTGACCTTGAAAGAGTTTTATCTGCATGAAGCAGTAAAAAGTGTGATGTAGTAGTCATTTGACCTGGTTTTCCACAGGCACCAACTCCAAGACAGGTCCGATATAAAGAGAAAGTCATTGAGATGAGGAAGAGGAGAGATTCTGGGCTGAGTAAAGACCAAAAGGAAAAGTACATGGTAATTGTGTGTTTTTTTTTTTTTTGTGATTACTGAAATATATTTCAGAGTGCATCTGTGTATACATGTAAGTGTGATTATTTCATACATTACACATCATGAAAACTTCACAGCATGAACAATAATATTTAAAAAAAAAAAAAAAATTATAAATGAATTTCACTACATTTTAACAACAACAGCTCATACTTTTGCATTGAATGTCTCAGAACTGTCATGAGTGCAAGAGCAAATATTGGTAATATATTAATGCCATTATTATTAAAGAGATGGTTCACCCAGAAATGTTATTATTAGCCATGTTTTCATCCAAAGATGTGAATTAAATGTGCAAAACTGGACTATCGAATAAAACAATTGTGATTACATCACCGTTTCCATCTAAGACAAAATAGTCACTTCCTGATAAACTGGCGCCAAATAGTAAAAACAAGTTAACAGCCATGTAGTTTTGCTTAAGGCTCTTTCGTTTATTACGCAAAATAGTCCACGATTTGTCACATTCTTTTAGAATCTTCTCCGCTCGCACTGCTTGGAAAATTTGCGCACCCCCCCCCCCCCCCCTTTTTTTTATATCTGCAACTCATTTTTGTTATCACATGATCTGTTGAGGCAAAATTACATTACTTTTTTTGATGCTGGAATTAATTCGGTAAATGCCCTTCATAATTTCCATCGTAGTTTATGCAAGTTTTTTCTTATGGGATAAAAAGTTTGTTTCTCATTTTCAAAATTTATGCGCATCTTGGTGTTTCCATCCAGGGTTTTTATGCAATAATCAAAAATGTGCATAAACATAAGTGGATGGTAGGGGTGTAAGAAATCATAGCTGATTCGTACGGATCACAACCCATGGAACACAGTAGATTAAATTCTAAATATGTAACAATCGCGGAGAGATCACATCTCGCATCATTCAAATCGCGTGTATGAAAGGATTTATGTTTCCTGTAAAATATAATGATGACAGAAGAAGTTGTGGGAGGTTATTTGTGTGTGGTGGGTTTTTTAGGTTATTAAAAGTGTCTGTCACTACTTGTTTAGCCTGCGTTAATGCATTCAGCATTGATTAATCATTAACATAAATTATAAATGATGGTGATTTGCATGTTTATTAATCCTTTGACTCGCTGCATTCAAATGTGTTTGAAAAATGCAAAAATCAAGAAAGAGATTCAGTCCTTAGTCTTTTGAGTTAGTTATGACCAGTCAAATAACAGAAATATTGGGAGAACAGTTTATAGTTTAGATAAAACCACTGATGATTATGGTAAAGATTAAAATCGCCATCATATGCATTTAACTTGACGCGCAAAAATTAAAGTTGTAGGCAGCAATCACATTATTTGAACAATAGGTGGCGACAACCAGCCATCAAAATAAGCCACTGGATAATTCTTCAAAAGTGATGCTTGAAAAAGTTTTATAGGTGAATAACTGAATCATTTATCGAAAATGAGATTAAAAATAAGTATGAGTTGTACAAGCTATAATGTTAGATTTATACATTGTGTTATCAGCATGTGGTGGAAACACTGAATTTTTTACAGTACAGTAATATTTTACAATTTATTTTAATTCAGCTGATTATGTCTGCGTTATATTTTTAGCATACTTACTGGTTCTACTTTTTGTTTTTTAAAACCAAAAGTGTCTTGCAGTACTGTTTTTGTTAAAAAAATGGAAAGGAAATTACATTTGTGTCCTCTCCGTTTTGAATGATCAGACAAATGGTCCAATCCATGGCTAAAAAAAAAGATAATGTGATCCGAACCATGAGATTTGTTATATATACTACACCACTAGTCGATAGAAAAGCAGCTACTGTTTCCTAGAGTGTTTTCTAACCTTAATGACACAAAAGAAAATACTTTGAATAACGCTGAAAACCTGTAACCATTGTCTTCCATAGTATTTGTTTTTGCTACTATGGAAGTTAATGGCTACTGTTTTTTTTATTTTTCTAAATATATGTTGTGTTCAACAGAAGAAAGAAATTCACACAGGTTTGTGACAAGTGAATGATGATGAAATGTACAGTTTTGGGTGAACTATGTCTTTTAAACTGTATTGTTGTTGATGCATTCACATCTTTTAATTTGTATCAGGAGCACAGACAAACGCATGGAACCACTCGCGAACCATTGCTGGAGAACATCACCAGTGATTATGATCTGGAGCTCTTCAGAAAAGCTCAGGCTCGTGCATCAGAGGATCTGGTAAGAACCGAAATACCTCACGCTTCACACAATTTTCTGACAATGCAGACCAGCTGATCAGAAAACTTGACTTACTGTCAAATTGTAAACGAAATACAAAAATAAACCATTTAATTAACCCTTATAATTTATTTTTGCATAATGCATTTCACTAAAATCATATTCTGTCTGGTCTGCTACCTCTCATTAATGAGAAAAATGAAATGAAAATTGTCGAATGTTTATGATGTTGTTGCTTAGTTTACGGATATTTTTATTAACCACAAAGCAAAAAAAAAAATAATTCAGATTCAAAACTGACCTAAATAAATTATGTTATACAATGTAGCTATGTAATGTGTAGATTATAACACTTTTTGATTCAGCAGCAATATCTATCCCGCTCGCTCACTGTGCACTTATTCAAAGCTGTTTGAGTTTCTTCCTTCTGTTTAACACAAAGACAATTTGAAGAATGTCGGTAACCATTTGCCATTAACATTTATATGAATTGTTTTCATACTATACTGTAGATGTCAATGGTTACCTGTTTCCTACATACTAATTTAAATAGCTTTTGCGTCCAGCAGAAGTAAGTAACTCCTAAATGCTTAGGAAAATTCATAGTTTTATAGGAGAGTTTTATTGGAAGAAGGTTCAGAATCATCAGTTGTTCATCTAATAGATATAAATTTACCCTTTTTCCTGAAGCTATAAGGCTTTATTACCTTAAATTTTAGCATGTTTAATTTTATTTCTGTGTATATAATTAATGTTATTATATTTCTGAAGTTATTAAGAAGCATGCTGGATTGTTTTTTTATTTATTTTTTATGGTTTTTGAGTGAGGTTTTTTTTTTGTATATGGGATTAATTGTCGTTAAACTTAAAATTAAAATGTTTTTAACAGTTTAGGGCGAGTAAATTTTAGATTTTTTGGTTGAATTTTAGCTGCCATTTGTCTATCTGTATATTTATATAGATTTAAGGTCTGATGTTCTTTTTGTTCGCAGGAGAAACTGCGTCTTCAAGGTCAGATCACAGAGGGCAGTAACATGATCAAAACCATTTTTTTTGGCCGCTATGAGCTGGAGACGTGGTACCACTCTCCATACCCAGAGGAATATGCCCGTCTGGGGCGACTGTATGTCTGTGAGTTCTGCCTCAAGTACATGAAGAGCCAGACCATCCTGCGCAGACATATGGTATGAAGTAATAGTAACCTCTGCTATGGCTTGAGTTTAGTCAGATGTTTGTATTGGAGGCATGTTTATAAAGGTGAAGTTAAGTTTGACATTTTCATTTGTATGTCATCTCTACAGGCCAAATGTGTGTGGAAACATCCTCCAGGGGATGAAGTCTATAGAAAAGGTGCCACCTCTGTGTTTGAGGTTGATGGAAAAAAGAACAAGGTGGGCAATGAATTCAAAATGACTCTTACGTTTGGGATATATCCGTTTTTTTTTGTGTGTGGCAGTTTTCACTTCTAAATTAAATTCTATGTTAACTCGCTACATATGAAGCTGATTTCTTTCATCCATGTGTCTCAACAGATCTACTGCCAGAACCTCTGCTTGCTGGCCAAGCTGTTTTTGGACCATAAAACACTGTATTATGATGTGGAGCCTTTCCTGTTTTATGTCATGACTGAAGCTGATAACACAGGCTGTCACCTTGTGGGATATTTCTCAAAGGTAATGCAGTGGTGCAGTCTATGGAAACTCACTTAAACTGAAATTTATTATAACATTACATATTTTCACAATACTTGCATTTAAGGTAAAATTTTGGGCAGATTTTTAATCATAAGCCTCTTTTGTTGAGACACTGCTCGCTGCAGAGCCACTTGGGCTCCAGTGAGGGGGAGCTTGAGCTCCAACTCCTCCTCCTATAAGCTGTTTTAATGCGTACATCCACCCCTAACCGCAACCCCCAGTGACATCACTTGTAGAAGAAGTGCAAGGAAGGAGGAGCTGGAGCTCAAGCTCCCCCTTGCTGGAGCTCAGCTCTGCCCACATGGCTCTGCAGTGAGCACCACTTGCTTTCGTTTACGCTCAGGCTATGGTAGTGCTGTTCAGAGAACATCAAACTTGTTGAAATGATTTGAAGACTGGATTGTGTACTCTTGATGTGCTGGCAGCAAACAGTGCACTAGTTTTACACTTTAAGGGATAGTTCACCTAAAAATGTACTGTTAATTTACTCACCCACAGTTCATCCAAGATGTAGATGACTTTTCTCTTTAGTAGAACTTTAGAGATGTTTGGATATATCTGTGGTCCTTGGTGATTCATATGATGGCAGTGATTGCTAAAAGTTTTTTTTAGATTAAAATAAACACAAATGAGTCCAAATCAATAGCCATGGCTTCTGATGAAACAGTGATGTCTTGTGAAGCAAAACGATTGCTCCGTGTAATGCTGTGTTCACACCAGATGCGGAACGCACAGATAAATCGCGCTATTCGCACTTAAATAGCTGCGTGAACATTTGAGTTTACTCGCTTCATACGCGCGTCAAACCCCGCTTCATTCGCGTGTCAAATTCACATCAGAACAGACGCAGATTCGCGTGATGGGCAGGGCTTCAGTCTGCCCTGTGACTCTAGCTTCATAGCTAAATGGCTAACATGGATTTTATGAAGAAAATAACAGTGTTTATGTGCTTTATGAAGACTGGAAAACAGCGTCGATACGTTTAGGGTCGTGTCTGAGTCTGCTACATTCTTTCAGAGGTGCATCCAGCTCTGTGAGCTCATAAACTTAACCAACTTAACCTGGCTGACGGAGGCTTTCAGCTGTGCTTCTGACTGAGCCAAGCCCAGTTTGATGAACTGTTGTCGGTGAAGGCTGGAGGATTTCCCTCGGAACACCGACAACAGGTTCTACGTCACAATCACGCCCCCACAAGAGGAAGCTTCTGATTGGTTAACGCGGTGCGAATTTACGCTGAAGTTCAGATTTTTGAAATCGAGAGATTCGCGCGAAACGCTCGTTAAGCGCGTCAAATGCGCAAAACGCTCAATTCGCCCCACGCCATTTGCGCGTATCGCGCCGCAGGATGTCCATTCACGCGTTTGCATTAACTTAACATGTAAATCACTCGCACTTGACGCGCGTTCCGCGTCTGGTGTGAACGCAGCATTAGAAATTGAGCACTATTTTCAATATTATTAGCATTAATTTACAGCCTGCTCAAACAGTTCACGGTGCATGTGTGAATGTAGCCTGATTGTAGTCCTGTCACTTTTGAATCATCCGCAGATTCAGCTAAAATCTTCTTTAATCTTGTACTAAAGAAAAATAAAGTCGTCTACATCTTGTGTGACCTGTGAGTGAGTAAATTTACAATAAATAAAACAAATGTGTGAACTGTTCTTTTAAGAAAGGCTGGTCAGAACAAGTCATTATGTTTATATCATGATCATAAATTCTCTGTTTAAGCATAATTGTCTGTTTTCATGTGTGCAGGAGAAGAACTCGTTCCTGAATTACAATGTGTCTTGTATCCTGACCATGCCACAGTACATGAGACAGGGCTATGGCAAGATGCTGATTGACTTTAGTGAGTACCTGGTGTGTGTGTGGTTAGGTTCTGACGGTTATATTTGTGAACAACTGAGCATTCCCATAGATCATTTCATTATGGCGATGTCACTGACCCATGAACATTTACTTATGTCAAACTATTTTGTAACTGTATCAAGAGGCAATTTAGTCATATCTTAACATTAAAACCTGTCATAATATAATTTATCAATATGTGGAATGTTTTAGATTCTTGGAAGCTATAGAAATTAAAAATGCAATACAGGAAATACGTTTGTTGGAAATACGAATTGTTTACATTCCTCAAAAGACTGGTCTGTAAATGGAAAGCATCAACTCTGTGCAAAACTCTATATCATAAATAGTAATAAAATGCAGATATCAAACTGTGCAACATCAACCTGTGATGTGGATTTTAGTTTTAGAAGATAAAATGGAAAAAAATAGGGCATTGAAAAAAATTTGTAAGCACAAAAAAACCCTCAAAATTAGCCAGTTTTGCTAATATCGTCTTGGTGTTCAACACACAAATCTGTGAAAATCTTGGAATTTTAGTCAAGGGTTTATGACCCTTTAATTATTTATTTAAAAAAAAAAAAAAGAATTATACACTAAAATCAGGATTTATGACCTTTTAAATACCATGCTATTGTGTTGCTATTGCGTTCCAGGTTACCTGCTGTCGAAGGTTGAAGAGAAGGTGGGCTCTCCTGAACGCCCGCTCTCTGATCTGGGCCTCATCAGTTATCGCAGCTATTGGAAGGAAGTCCTGCTACGCTACATGTACAATTTTAAGGGCAAAGAGATCTCCATTAAAGGTAAGAGGAGTTTATTGTGCCCCAAATGTGAATGTTGTAAATTAGGCATGTTCAATCAGACATCCCTGAAGGGTTTGACTTCATTTTTTTTTTTTTCCTCTCTTCAGAGATCAGTCAAGAGACTGCAGTGAACCCAGTGGATATCGTCAGTACACTGCAGTCCCTTCAGATGCTTAAGTACTGGAAAGGAAAACATCTAGTTTTGAAAAGACAGGTATCATCTGTTTGTTATTTCTCTCTTTTTTTTTGTATGTTTGCTTTAAAAGGCCTGGGTGTCCACAGGATCTTAAAGTATTAAAAGTTAATAAACGAATGAAGAGAAATTTAAGGCCCTTAAAACTTATTAAAGTCTAAAATGCTATTTTGCAAGGTATTAAGTTTGATATCATTTTTGATTATGCAGTGTATAGTTGTATGCTAAAGTTTGCCTGAACTAAATCTGCGAATATCAGGATGCTGTATAGTTAATGAAATCCTACTATTTTTGACATCATGCTGCTTTGTTTACTGCAGTAAAGGTGCCAACCTTTTTGGATAAATTGCTTACATGAATATTTACTAAATACATTGTAAGTTTAAATCTTGCAAGTGTTGTTGGTTGAAAAGTAGAATCTGTGCCCAGAAAATAAACTTTTTGAAATTCAGCCAGAAACAGGTAGAAAATCTAATTTATTTTTTAAGTCAAGACATGAAGAGATTGTTTATAGAAGATGCCGCATTGGACACACAAGACGCATGAAAGGAGAAAAACCCCTAAAGTGTCTATATTGCAAAAGAAACCAAACTGTTAAACATATTCTTGTGGAATGCCCTTTTTTTAAATGTTATCAGACAAAAGTTTTTATCTGGAATGACTTTAAATTAAGTATTTTTAAATGTGAATCCTTCTAAAATTGTTTAAAAATATTTTATAAAAAAAAAACCTTAAACTGTTTTAGATTTTTATCTTATATATTATCATTCTTATTCTTGTTTATGCATTTTACCTTGTATGCTATTTATTGCTGTTGATAGCTTTTAATAGTTAGAATACCTTTATAATTATAGAAAAGTGGTGTTTATAAAATGTGGTAAACTTGATCTGTTTACTATTAAAACTCTCGCTCTCTCTCCAGCCTTTGTGTTGTATTGTATTATAGAGCTGCTGTTTGTTTTGTACTTAGAAAAAAAAGCATAAAAAAGCAGTAATTACTTTGTTCTTGCAACATTATCTTCGCAATATAAAAAAAAAAAACGTATCATGTGCATACTTTTTGAACTATTGCAGTGTTTCGCTTGCTTTTAAAACAAGCTTTTTTTCCCCTCCAAAATAAAAATACTTGAGTGATTTTGATAGGAAAATATAGATAGATATTACTTTTGTGTTCCAGAGGAAAACCTCTCTTAAACTCATGAAAGCACAATCATTCTGTCAAAGCACCCGACACTGCAAGTTCACTAATAAAACTAGATGCTTATGACCTTTCTGTCATACAGCATTTAATATAAATTGATTTGACTCTCTGCTGCAGAAAGCAGCTATGATTTTCTGCTCTGTGGCTTCTCTTTCTTTCTTTCTTTCTTTCTTTCTTTCTTTCTTTCTTTCTTTCTTTCTTTCTTTCTTTCTTTCCTTCCTTCTTTCTTTCTTTCTTTCTTTTTCTTTTTTTTCTTTCTTTCTTTCTTTTTCTTTTTTTTCTTTCTTTCTTTCTTTTTCTTTATTTCCTTCCTTTCTTTTATTGTAAATGTATTTAAAAATTAGTATAAATTGTAGCATCTTTATGTTGCATTTTTAAAATATTTTTTTATAAAGTCTACGCAGTACCAACATGTACCATATATAAGTAAAACTTGAAATGGTTTAACTCAGAGGTGTCCAATCTCAGTTCTGGAGGGCCAGTGCCCTGCATAGTTAAGCTCCAACTTCCTTCAACACACCTGCCTGGAAGTTTCTATTATACATAGAAAGCGCTGGTTAAGGTGTGTCTAATTTCAAAAGAATCAAAATATTAAAAACTTTCAAGGATTTAAGATGCTGATGACTGTTAAACGCGTCATAACAGGCTTGTGAAAAGGGTCCATTGTTGCACACCAGTTATTCATCGTTTTGGCTATAAGAGAAATCCCAGCCTCCGTAACTTGGCGGTCAGAGGTCGATAGTAATATTTTGAGTTCCCCCAATGCTGACGTCACATGAAAACTTTCACTTCTACTTGTGGCCCAATCAATCAGAATGCATCTTATTCCACTGTTAAAAAAATGCTGGGTTACACATAATTGATTTGTGTATGCAACCATTTGAGTAGATTTGACATAAAACAATGAAGTTTTACTCAAAAAAGCCAAAGAATTGTGTTGTTTCAGCTCATTTTGAATATGTCGTTTAAACAAACAGCAAACATAATTTTCCAGTGGACCAAATGTAGTAACTTGTAAATAAATATACAATTGTAAGACCTAAAATGTTCAAGTTTGGTTTTATTTTGGTTTTTACTGCAGATGTAGCTGAATATATTTGTTTTACTCTGCAGGTTTTCTTCATTTAGATGTTTTGCCTCAATAACTGTTTTGTTAATTAATGCCACAGGACCTGATTGACGATTGGAAGGCCAAAGAGACTAAAAGGGGAAACAGCAAGACCATCGACCCCGGCTCTCTCAAATGGACCCCTCCTAAAGGAACCTAATTGACTTTATTATTTTTTTCATCCCTTTTTATGACTCCATCACGTCTTTTGCAATGGCTTCATCTCTCATTTTTGTCTCCTTTTATGTGCCCTTTGAAACTTTTATACAGTAATATTTATTTTTCTGGAAGTCTTTGGCCAAAGTATTTTCTCTGCCCCTGCGTATTTTTAAATGTAGATGTATTTTGATTCTCTTTTTAAAAGCAAAAAAATAAGCTTATCGTCATTAGAATGTAGAAAAAAGGGGCCTTACATTACAAAAAATCTCATTTAATTACACATTCTTTAACAAAACAGTATTTCTTTTGTGTTTTTGTGAAAATGTCTTGATTGAAATGAGAACAGAGCTGAAGAGAAATGTCATTTTGATAAATACTTTTATTACGCCATTTATTTGATATCCCAGCAAGACATTTGCTTGTGTGTGTATACTCCCAGTTTCCCTGGAGTACAATGTTAAGAGTGAAGAATAACTGTGTTTTTAGACGTCTGTGAGGTCGTCAGTACTGAAGTCTGTCCCATTCCTCCTGCAGATCTGCTGTGTGAAGAACATTATATCATTTCAGGTCCGTTTCATCACTTTGCATAAATACACTTCTGATACTTCAGCGTTGTACCTGTCCGTTTGTTCAGAGCTGCAGATTTTGCTGTACTCGTCTCTGGGATTGCTCTTGTGCCAGAACCTGTGGATTATTAGCATTCATTTTACAGTATTGCAGCATAGACTAAACCCCCAAGCTGTATATTAAAACGATATATATATATATATATATTTTGAATTTAGTCATACCTCCTAAAGATCTCTTTCCCATGAGTCCTACAAACATATCACCCTTGTGCCCTGTGAGGAAATAATGGAGATTGAAATTGCTTGAGTGCTTCTCTTAATGCTGTCTTTATTTACTGACTCTTGTTGCAAACCTGTTTTTTTTTCTCTTCTTATTTTAAACAAACAAAGAAAGATATTTTGAAAAATGCTGGTTGCTGAGTACTATTGATTTCCATAATCATTTGTTTTCCAGCTAGAGAAGTCAATGGTTGGCAGCAGCCAGCATTCTTCAAAATGTATTTATTTGTATTTAACAAAACAAAATTCAAAGATTTAAAGCTAAATGATGAGAATAAATGGAGAAATAAATATTTTTTGGTGATCTTCAGTGAAAACACTTTTTTTTTAGTTCACACTCCTCTCTATTTCTGTCTGTCTGTCTATCTGTTTATGTTTTTCTCCCTCTCATAAATATAAATATCAAAATGTCTCATCTTTGTAACAAAACACTTCTCACTGAACAAGTCTTTCTTTATTTCTTGTTTTTTTTTCTTTCTGTCTTTTTTTCTTTCTCTCTTGTTGCTTTATTATTTCTTTATTTCTTTCTTGTGATGTTTTTTCTTTTATTCTTTCTGTTCTTTATTCTTTCTTTCTCGTTTATTTCTCTTTTCTTTATTACTGTCTTGTTTTTTCTTTATCACTTTTTTATTCTAGTTTTCTTTATTATTCTTTTTTCCTTGTTTCTTTTTTTCCTTTTTTCCCTTTTTCTTTCTCTTTCTCTTGTTTCTTTATTATTCTTTCTTTCTGTCTTGTTTGTTTCTTTCTTGTTTCTTTTTTTTCTTTCTCTTGTTTATTCTTTCTTTTAATTCTTGTTTCTTTATTATTTTTCCTTTCTGTATTTCTTGTTTCTCTATTTGTTTATCATTCTTTTTTCCTTTGTTTTTTCATTCTTCTTTTCTTTATTCTTTCTCTTCTCATTTTTCTCGTTTATTCTTTATCTTTTTATTTTTCTTTATTTTTTCCTCTATTTCTCTTTCATGTTTGTTATTCTTTCTTTCTCAATTTTCTCGTTTCTTTTATTCTCTTTTATTCTCTTTTTTTTCTTTTTTCTCAATTTCTTTCTCTTGTTTCTTATTCTTCCTTTCTTGCTTCTTTCTTTCTGTTTCTTTTCCCCCCGTTTCTTTTATTCTCTCTTTCTCTTGTTTCTTATTCTTTCTTTCGTTTTCTATTTTTTCTCTCGTTTCTTTATTCTTTCCTTGTTTTTTTTTATTTCTCTTCTTTCTGTTATTTCTTTCTCTCGTTTTTTTCTTTCTTTATTCTTTCTTTTTTATTCTCTCTTATTCTTTCTCTTGTTTGTTTATTTCTTTCTTTCTCTTGTTTCTTTCTATTTCTTGCTTTCTCTTGTTTCTTTCTATTGTTTCTTTCTACTTCTTTCTTTCTCTTGTTTCTTTATTCTTTCTTTATTCTCTTCTTTCTTTCTTTCTATTTATTATTTTTTCTTTTTTTCTCTCTTGTTTTTTCTTTCTTGTTTAAGCCGCTTGTATAAAATCTCAGCCAAGGCCCCTTAAAAATTCTCTGCTTTTCTGTATTGCCAATTTTAGCCATTACATTATTTTGGTTTTATTTTGTATAATAATGAGATCTCTAAATATAAAATAAAAATGATGTCAAAATAACAAAAAAAGCCAAAAAAAAAAAAAAATCTTAATTTGATGCATTAGCTCTTTCTTTCAATCACAAAATAATGTAAACAGTTATAAACCAATTGGAATTTTTAGAGGTCAGAGACGGGTCTAGAGGTATTGGTAGGTTTGTGCTTAATGGATTATTGTAAAGTATAGGTTATTCCAGTGAAGGTGTTTTAAATAATACTATGTTAATACATGTATCCACAAAACAAGGTTTGATGATTAAAGCACACAGAACAAAGACACTTCTAATAAAGTGAGTCATTTTGTTATGTACAGATGCAATAATGAAGTGAATATACTCACTTCTTCGCTCCATTTTTACAGGCTGAAGGACTTCTGGGAAAATCACAGAAAATGTCAGTTATTTATTTACAGTGAGATGAAGAATACATTTAATTGCAAATGATCAAGATAGTTAAGTAAAAAAAATAGAGCTAATTAAAAGCAATACAGGCTTAAATATGCTGTTAATTTCAGGGTTATTACAATTTATTTTAAATTAAACGCCCCATAAAGCAACAAATATACATTTTGGAATGCATTAAATGTACAAATTGATTTAGTTATTTAAAAACAGCATATTAAATGCTTTAAAAACCCTATTAAAAATATGGATAAACTTTGATTTATCATCTTTTAATGCAAGACATTTAAAAAAAATCTCAGTGGGTAGTTTTTAAATCATGTTAAAAAATATACTTTACATTTCTTGCTTGGGGTAATAAGCACACAGGATACAGCGTAATATATATTAATATATATAATTGGTTTGAATTATATGTTTGGTGTATGGATTATGTTTTGGATTACATACCACAAGTAAAATTGTATATTGTTTATTTATTAAAATTTTTAATTGTTTGTTTATTTTTTGAGCAGTGTATTTTCCAGAGGCAACAAAATGTGAAGTTTTACCTGAGCGTTTCCCCATTAACCCATAAAACTGATGAGATTTGGATCTCTTCAACAGACTGGCCACTTGACTGGCTAATGTCTCCTCCATCGGCTCATCCTATGTTAACAAAGAAAAAATATATATGCAAGTCAATTATTAGCCCTCCAGTGAAATTTGCATTAAAATATTTCCCAAGTGACACACTACTAAAGAAGGAAATTTTCAAAGTAGTTCCTACAATATTTTGTTCTTCTGGAGAAAGGCTTATTGGTTTCAGTTTGGCTAGAATAAAAGCAGTTTTAAATTTTTTATAGACAATTTTAATGTCAATATTATTAGTCCCCTTAAGTATTTTTTTTGATTGTTTACAGAGCAAACAACAGTTATCTAATAACCTAATTAACATAGTGACATATTTAAATGTCACTTTAAGCTGAAAACTAGCATCTCTAACTAGAAAAATAATACGTACAGTCATCATGGCAAGGAGAATATAAATTAAATGTTAGAAATGATCATGTTTAAAAATAATCTCTACATTAAACAGAATGTCTCACCATTTTAAAATGAATACTACATATAAATCAATAAATGTATAATTTTAGTAACAGATTGAGCTCATTTATACATTTTATAAAGCATTTATTAACACAACAAATATCTGCTAACTGAATTTCATCAAAAAATTCTCACCTCCCAGTTATCAGACATCCAGTTGTCTCTGTTTAGAGAGAAAGAGAATCCTTCAACGCTGTAGGCGAGAGCGAGTAAAGTGAGCATTAATGCTGACAGTTTCCAAATCTCCATATGGAACTAACAGGTCTAGAGAATGCTATTATGTCTATTTAAAAAAAAACACTAACAAAGAGAGTTCAGAAATGATGTTTTCTTCTGAAAGCAGAGCTCTTTTCTGTTCTTCCACATAGCGAAACGGCTGCATTTATAGCCATTTATAGCCTGCCAAAGCCCCCTCCCCGATCTGACACACCACAACCAGCATCACCTCCATCTCCCCCTGCCAGAACCGATGATTAAGGTGCATCTATTGGAGAAAAATGACTACCACTTGACTTGAGAGTTCAATTTGTTGATCGTTTGATTTCATTGGTTTTAATTTATTGGCCAATCACGTTGAAATTTAATCAACTGATGCTAAACACTTTGAAAAAACTGTTAGAACTATATTAGAAACTTATTTTAAATGAGCTGAAACAACACAAATCTTGGGATCTTTTTGGGACAACTTATTTGTTTTATGTTCAATTCACTTAAATTTGATAAAGCAATCATATTAACTAATTGGTTTGTGTTGGGACAACATGAAGAGATTGTGTGGAACTCAGCATTTATTAAAGTGTACATATAATTCAGTTAAATAAATGTATTCCTGTTCACATTAGGTTTTGCTATTAAAATGGTAATAAATAAAGCTGACATTTGTAAAATGTCAAAAATAAAATAAAATTATGTTCCGTTAGCTCAAATTACTAACTTAAAATAAGCTAAATCAACAGTTTCAAACAAGTTTTTTGGGGACAACTTAATTGTTTTATGTTCGATCCACTTCAATTTGCAAAAATTAAATAAACTTAATCGATTTGTGTTGGGACAACATGAAGGAATTGTGTGGAACATCATTGTGTACACTAAAAAATGCAGGGTACCACACAATTCATTCATGTCCATCACAAATTGATTAAGTTAACCGAACACTTTGAACATAAAAAATTAAGTTTTCCCAATGAAATCTCAAGAATTGTGTTGTTTAACTGATTTTAATTAAGTAGTTTGAACAAGTAAAAAAAATATTTTTTGAGAGTATTTAAAACATTCCTAATATATTGTGAGATGTTTTTGCAATTTGAATGAATAGAATAATACATATTTAGTACAATTTGTAAAACCTTTTTTTTTACAACAGTGAAGCTAGAATACTTGAAATGTCTCAATCTCTAAATTGTGTTTGAGTAAAATGTATATATCTCAGGGTATCTGTGGGGTCTTAAAAATCTTTAAAAATGTCTTAATTTTGGCCTTAAAAATTCTTAAATCCATTGAAATATTGTGTTGTAGGTCTTAATTTTCCTAAATCTATGTAAAGCTATCCTGACACCCATCCCATCACTAACTATATATTTCAATAAAAGTTTTAAGAAACATTTATTTATTAATATGGTTTAATTATGATTCTTACAATAATAATTGTTTTAATGTTTTTTATTTTTTATTTTAACTTGACCATTAAAAAAAATCTTTAGAGATTAGCCTTGTGTAAGTCTAAAATTTCATTCATTATGGTCTTAAAATAGCGTTAAAAAGTAAATAAAAGTGTGTGTGTGTGTATATATATATATATATATATATATATATACACACACACACACGTTTGTTTTTGTGAAAAGTTAGTACATAGTTTTCCATTCGTTTTATACTGTTCAAACCATATTGTGTTGCCCTCACCCCACCCTACCCCTAAAACCAAGCATCACAGGAGACTGTGTACTGCTTTACTCTCTGAATAAAATCATCCTGTGGGATTCAGAAGCTTTTGGAGAAATGAGGACATCAGCAATGTCTTCGTATTTCACCTCCTTTTTGTAATACCTGTGTCAAACCCATGTCATTATACAGATTTGTGTCCTATGTCACAAACACACATCAATACCAATATTTACCCTTTAGAGGAGTTAAGAAATTTATATTTAGGGCTATATATTAATTCAAATTAGGTTTTGCTATTAAAATTGTAATATAAAGCTGACATTTCTAAAAAAAAAAAAAAAAAAAAAAAAAACTTTTCGCTGTTTGCTCAAATTACTTATTTAAAACAAGCTAAAACAACAGTTTCAAACAGAAGTTTTTTTGGGGGACAACTTAATTGCTTTATGTTCAATCCACTTAAATTTGCAAAAACAATTAAATTAACTTAATCAACTTGTGTTGGGACAACATGAAGGAATAGTGTGGAACATCATTGTGTACAGGGGGCGAATTAATAAAGGGATTAAGTCGACAAGAAATTGAATGAATCATTGTGCACACTGTAAAAAATGCAGGGTTCCACACAATTCCTTCATGTCCAACACAAATCGATTAAGTTAACACTTTTAACAAATGTATGTGGATTGAACATAAAAAAATTGTCCCAATGAAATCTCAAGAATTGTGTTGTTTCAATTAATTTTAACTAAGAAAATTGAACAAGTAAAAAAACACTTTTTTTGAGTGTATATAAAACATTCCTGATATATTGTAAGATGTTGTTGTCTTTGGACTGTGGGGGAGACCTGAGCACCCAGAGGAAACCCACGCAAACGCAGGGAGAACATGCAAACTCCACACAGAAATACCAACAGACCCAGCCGAGGATCAAACCAGCGACCTTCTTGCTGTGAGGCGACAGCACTACCTACTGCGCCACTGCGTCGTCTGTTCATAGTATATCAATCTGTAAATATTACCCATATCTTTTCTGTAACTGGATTTATAAGTTATAAGTTGAATTATAAGTTGCCTAAAGCCTGCAATTGCACTCCTGGTTAGACCTAAACTGCATTTCGTTGCCTTGTTCTTGTACATGTGTAATTAAAATATAGTTAAATCTAACCAAAACCTGGAAAAAAGGTCAACTAAAACTTCATGCACTAAAATAAATAAATAAAAATTTGACAAAAAAACGGCAATTAAATAAGCTTTTAATATATTAATTTATATATTTATATTATATATTTTAATTGAATCAACATTTCTTTAATTTCAAGTTGCAAAATGGCTTTAGATTTAAAGTAGTTTGATTCAGATCTTTCACGGATGATTCATTTAAAAATACAAGGAGTTCATTGTGTACTTTTGACAACAGCAATTACCACAGTACAGTGTGGGATAAACACACAGAACAGTAAAATATACGAGCAAATGTATATGTCTATATGTTTGGAATGACAATCAAATATTTGACCTCGTTTTCTGTCTCTGCATAAACGAATATGACCTGTTTATAATTACATTTCTGACATATTGATCTGTGTTTTCAAATTGACTGAGGCGTCTGTACAGGGCTTGGCAAACAATGCCTTCTGTTGTGTAAGTTCTAAGTAAGTACTTAATCGTTCAGTCCATTTTTTTGCCCTCTTTTGTCTAAAATCCACACAAGAAAAAAACCTTTGCTTCCAAATAAGCCTGGGTTGACAAAAATCAGTTAGTTTGTCATTTTGTGCCATTAGAGGAAAAACTACTTTACTAAAGTGGTTAACATTTAGCATTCTGTTAAAAAAGGCATTCAAATGGCTTAAAATGTCAGTCCAATACATCATCATGTGCACAATTTTACATTATGCATTTTTTCAATCAGTGTTATTCATCTGCACTTATAATCAACAATAAAAAGAAACTAGGAATCAGAATAATATTAGCCTATTTATGCACTCCATTTTATGTTTAAACAAATAAATTGATTAAAGTTTATATAAATATTATATACACTCACCAGCTACTTTATTAGGTACACCTTACCTGTTCCGTGTTGGACCCGCTTTTGCCTTCGGAACTGCATTAATCCTTCATGGCATAATTTCAACAAGGTACTGGAAATATTCCTCAGAGATTTTGGTGCATATTGTCATGATAGCGTCACGCAGTTGCTGCAGAATTGTCGGCTGCACATCCATGATGCGACTCTCCCGTTCCACCACATCCCAAAGGTGCTCTATTGGATTATATCTGGTGACTGTGGAGGCCATATGAGTACAGTGAACTCATTGTCATGTTTAAGAAACCAGTCTGAGATGATTCACGCTTTAGGACATGACACGTTATCCTGCTGGAAGTAGCCATCAGAACATGGTAGACTGTGGTCATAAAGGGATGGACATGGTCAGCAACAATACTCAGGTAGGCTGTGGCGTTGACACGATGCTCAGTTGGTACTAATGGGCCCAAAGTGTGCCAAAAAAATATCCCCTATACACCATTACTCCACCAGCCAGAATCGTTAAGGCAGGATGGATCCATGCTTTCATGTTGTTGACGCCAAATTCTGAACTGACCATTCGAATGTCGCAGCAGAAATCGAGACTCATCAGACCAGGCAATGTTTTTCCAATCTTCTATTGTCCAATTTTGGTGAGCCTGTGCGAATTGTAGCCTCAGTTTTCTGTTCTTAGCTGACAGAAGTGGCACCCGGTGTGGTTTTCTGCTGCTGTAGCCCATCTGCCTCAAGGTTTGATGTGTTATGTTTTCAGAGAGGCTCTTCTGCAGACCTTGGTTGTAACGAGTGCTTATTTGAGTTACTGTTGCCTTTCTATCAGCTCAAACCAGTCTGGCCATTCTCCTCTGACCTGTGGCATCAACAAGGCTTTTGCTCCCACAGAACTGCTGCTTACTGGATATTTTCTCTTTTTTGGACCACCCCAGAGAAGGTTGGCATGAAAATCCCAGTAGATCAGCAGTTTCTGAAATACTCTGACCAGCCCGTCTATTACCAATATGCCACATTCAAAGTCTCTTAAATCTCCTTTCTTCCCCATTCTGATGCTCGGTTTGAACTGCAGCAGATCGTCTTGACCATGTCTAAATGCCTTAATCAATGCATTGAGTTGTTGCCATGTGATTGGCTAGTAAGAAATTTGCGTTCAAAATAACGTTAGACAGGTGTACCTAATAAAGTGGCTGGTGAGTGTATAGCCTATAAGAAGTATGGGTATTAAGTAAATTGCTAGTTTTTTGTACACTTTACAAGTACAATCGCATACTATTTAGGCCTACATTTAAATATTTTTAACTTTTTGTTTTGTAATAAACATTTTCATGAGCAAGCTTTTGTTATGATAGGAAACAAGCTACTGACTGAAGTGCGTAAATAAACTGCGGATAGATTCAGGTAGCCTACATAAAATGTCCTATTTGCTCTAATTAAGTGATTTCAGGTTTTACTTAAAGACTAAACCATTTTACCATCCTAACGTTATCTCTGAGCATTGTTTTAATCTAAGTTACATCTATACACAAATGAGCGGCCTGAACTTACTCAACCAACGTAACGTTATTTCTTCCATCGCGCATGCGCATTCATAGGCTTTGCTTGGATTTCATCTATTTTGTTGAATAGAAGTAAAACGTAAATAATGAACGAGTACATATTAAATACGTTTTATATGTTTTAACAAAACACTACAACACTGTTTTAACAAAGCGCTACGGCTCGCTTATGATTTGTTTATATATTTTACACTT